GCAAAGCTATTTTGAAAAATCTTCATTTTACAGGGGTGGCTCTGTAGAATATTTGATCACTAAGGATAGGTCTAGGAGTGACAGACTGGGTGTTTACTAAACTCATTTCTCCTCCCTGAGAACATGGTAGATTACAGCTCCCAGATTTCCTTGCAGTTGCCCATGGCCATGTGACTCAGTTCTAGGCAGTGGGATGTGAGAAGAAGTGACTGCACCACTTCTGAGGCCAGGCCCCTAACTCCCCTGCCCCCACCCATGCACAATCCTCCCCCATCTCCTTCCTGTTGCTAGCCTGAAGCACTTAGGCAAGTGACCCTGGAAGCCAAGTGTTGAAACTGGTCAGTATTGCAATATAAAAGGAGCCTGGCCCCCAAATCCCCACTTGGAGGAAAGCTGCCTGCCTTTCAAGAACACTCATTTTGGATTTCACACCGGGTACAAATAAACCTTAATTGAATTAAGCCAGTGAGATTTGGGGGTTTGTTGCAGCAGCTAATTCATAAATCTTAACTTTAATTAGTCACATCACTTTTGACAAATCCATTTGATCTCTTGCTCCAATCTCCCCTCTGTATCCCTCCCCAGACACCCACCCACACACTCCACTCCTAAAAAAGAATGGTTACCCTTTTGGGGGGAATTCCAATTTCTAAAGGTCACTATTAATTTTTTCTGAATAATGGTGTTACAGAATACTACAGTCATATTGTGTTTAAAGAGTACCAGCCAATGCTCTTAATCAGACGTAATTTCATTCCTTCCTTACAGGCCGGTGAGGCTCAAGAATTTTAGGGTGACACCACTGTATATTTTATTGGCATAGGGAAGGGAATATTTGTGAGCCCTTGGATTTCAGCATGAGATTGAGGAAATGAAGCTCAGTGGAGAGGAGAAAAGGGTAGGGTGGACAAATATTTTGGAACTGGACAGGCTTGAAATAAGTACAGATTTCCAGGCCACCAGTGACTTTCCATTGCACAGATCCAATTACAGGAGTCAGAAAGCAGCTGCTTTCCCAGGTAGCATCATGTGGCCTTTAGACTCCAGGGACACTGCGAGCCAGTGTCAGTTGAGAGGGTTCTAGTCTCACAACCCAACCTCAGAGGTCCTCTCTTTATCTCTCAGCATTTCAGGAGGACCCAGAACTTATAGCCTCTCTCTTAGGCACTGTTTAATCAGCTTGGCACAGAGACTATGTAATTGATCCAGGTCTTTCAAGCTCTTAGTTGCCCAAATGTTAACCAAGATCCTGTAACAAGTCACTAACCAAGTATTAGGAGACCCTTCAGTGTCCATTCCTAAGGCCCCGACACTACAAGTGCTTCCCACCATGGAAGAGTGGTGAGCACGATAGCCTTCAAAGTGGTTGAGTGGAATCAAACTTCCAGATAAACATCCATCCTGCATTTTCATTTGTGGAGGTGACATAGTATAAGAAAAAGAGGGAGTTTTGGAGCCAATAAGATCTGGATTCCAATGTAGGTTTTACTACATCCTGGCCATATGACCTTGACAATTAATCTCTCTAGGTTTCTTCATCAAGAACATCTTCTTCAAAACATACGAATGGCCAATAGACATAGGAAAAAATGCCCAACATCGCCAATTATCAGAGAAATGCAAATCAAAACTGCACTGAGGTATCACCTCAGATCAGTTGAATGGCTGTCATTCAAAAGTCCACAAATGACAAATGTTGGAAAGGGTATGGAGAAAAGGGAACCCTCCTACACTGCTGTGGGGAATGTAGTTTGGTGCAACCATTATGAAAAACAATATGAAGATTCCTCAAAAAACTAAAAATAGACTTACCATATGATCCAGCAATTCCACTTCTGGGTATATATCTGGAGGGAACTCTAATGCAAAAAGATACATGCACCCCAATGTTCATAGCAACACGATATACAATAGCCAAGACACAGAAGCAACCTAAATGTCCACTGACAGATGACTGGATAAAGAAGTTGTGGTATATTTCTACAATGGAATACTACTCAGCCATAAAAAATAATAAAATAATGCCATTTGCAGCAACATGAATGGGCCTAGGGATTATCATTGTAAGTGAAGTAAGCCAGAAAGAGAAAGAAAAATACCATATGATATCACTCATATGTGGAACCTAAAAAAGAAAAAAGACAAATGAACTTATATATAAAACAGAAACAGACTTACAGACATAGAATACAGACTTGTGGTTGCCAGAGGGGAGGGAGTTGGGAAGGGATAACCTGGGAGTTCAAGACTTACAGATACTAAAAATTGTACTGAACACTGGAATTTGACACAACACTGTAAAATGATTATGAATCAATAAAAATGTAAAAAAAAAAAAAAAAAAGAGAAAAAAAAAGAGGAAATGAACTTGAAAATTCTTACACTAAAAAAAAAAAAAAAAAAAGACTTACAGATATTGACTCATATATATATAAAACAGATAAACAACTTTATACTCCATAGCACAGGGAAATATATTCAATATCTTGTAGTAGATTATGGTGAAAAAGAATATGAAAATTAATATATGTATATCCATGTATGACATTGTGCTGTACACCAGAAACTGACACAGCATTGTAATCTGACTATACCTCAAAAAAAAGTTTCTTTTGTATAGTGTAGGGAACTGTGCACAATATCTTGTAATAATCTTTAATCAAAAAAATATGAAAACGAATATATGTATGTATGTGCAAGACTGGGACATTGTGCTGCACACCAGAAATTGGCACATTGTAATTCGATGTACTTCATTAAAAATAAATAAAATAAAATTGTGTATCTAAAAAAAAAAAGAATGTCTTCTTCAAGAGTCAGAGGCTCAGCATACACAACTCATGGGGCTGTTGTAATGACAAGGAAGTAATGTAGGGAAAATATCTAACACCCAATAATACACCAGATAAAATATTTTTATTCTCCTCTAAATGTTCCCTTATCCTCAATTGGGTTTTAAACTCCTAAAGGTAAGAGGCTGCTCTTCACAACCTCTATGGAGCATTGGTACCGTGAAAAGAACCACAGTTGAGTTGTCATTACCTTGGGCATCATCCTCCAGAGGCCCAATAGGACCCTGAGCTATTCTATTAACTCCTGAGAACATTTGTGGTGCAATGTGCCAGCTTTCCATCCCTGGTGCCAGCCCCAGTTGGAGGCTCTAGCTACATAAGTGATGTTCAGGCCACATGAGTGGCATGGTCCAAGTTTCAGTGTGCATGGTAGACCAGAGGAAGCTTGGTGAGAGTCCTGGAGTGAGGTCAGATGGGGATGGGAGCCAATCGCAGGGAAGAGAGAGGCATGCTCTTTGAAGGGAGAACGGGTGGAGGCAGTGGTGGGGAGGCAAAGAATATGAACAATGATATCTGGAATTTCAGCCGTGGAACGAATGGGAGCCATATTGAAACATGAAGTCCAAGCAATTGATGTATGACAACTGGAGTGACCCAGTAGCAAGGGAGATGTCTGTGATCGTGGAGAAAATTATTAGAGAAGCGTAGTCTTTGATTAGCTAAGAAGGGGTACTTTCCAGAATGTATGTGGAGGGGCTGGACTTAAATAGGAGTAGGGAGGGTTTTTTCCATTACTGCTGGGGATAAAGTGGAGAAAATGGGTGCAACTATATGGGGATAGAACAGCAGGGAACTTGTGCTGACTTGCAATTATTTTCTCCACAAAAGCTGTGGCGAGATAGTGGGGAGACCTGAATGGGGGAGGTTGGAGTGAGACGTAGATGAGATGGAGATCTGAAGAAAGAGAAGTGTGAAATCATCCTCTTGGTTGTTGGGAGGGTGAATTTTCTGGGGGAAATGTAGTTAGATTTCTAGGCTGCACTGAGTGCCCGAGCTGGTGAGTGCTCCCAGGAGAAAGGATGGGGAAGAAAGAGAGGACAAGAGTGAAGATGGATGATGAGAAAGAGAGAGGGTTTATGGATTGGGGTTAAATACTTGTTGGAGGTGGAGGTACTACTGTAAGGGAACTAGAAAATTTCCATAGAAATAATGACTCAGGTTGGATAATGCCACAGGAATCATTTTATTCAGAAGGAAGATAATTTTGGAAGCAGTCACCCCATGATTTCACAAACAATGGCCAGAATTCAACCCTTAAACCAAGTTATTTTAGATTCTCATCCTGGGATCCCGGGGTTCCTGGAAAAGATAGTGAGAAAGCCAAGCTCTTAGAGTAAAGATGACTTTTGGGAACAGTCACGGAAGGAGGCCAAGGTCCATCAGTCATCCAAACGAATAAGGAAGTCCTCCTAAAATGAAAAGGTAATTATGCCACTTTCCAGAAATGCCTGCTCTAAGCTACCCAATAGCTTGCTCCACATGCCACCCAGACTTCAGTGAGCAGAGGGGTGGCTGGGGTCCCTTCTGGGCTGGCAGAGACTAGCAAGGACTCATCCTCCCCAAACGCAGCTCTCTCTCGTATACTCACGTCTCGAACAGCGGCTTGGCAGGTGTGACCACACCCATTGCTGCAGCACTTTTGTCCCGCAGGACAGGATGCATCCCCAGTGCACCCTTCAACACAAAGCCCAACGGTTCCTGCTGGCACCCTGGGACAAGCTCCTGGTCTTCGTCCAGCTGAAAAACAAAATAGTCTTTCCAGAAACCAGGCTGCCTCTGTAGGAGGGAGCGGGGCTTGGTGCTGAGGGAGGGGCTGAAGCATATCACTCCCTGAGAGTCTTATAGCCTCTTCCCTTCTTGATGCCCCCAGTCTTCCCCTCCTAAACCAAGGAAGCAGACAGTACTGTTTGGTCCTTCAGAAAATGTACTGCCGACCAGCAGCTACAGCATCTTGGGAGAAGAGGTCAGAGCATGGCTGCTGAAACTCGATAATTATCCCAGATCACCAACAGAGCAGGTGACCCCCCGATTCCATGTGTCTTCAGAAGTCAATGAACACTGACTCCCATGGCAGGCCTCGCTTCCAACCTGGGTGAGAACCCTACTCCCGTACCTAGCCCTTCTCAAACTGGGTCCCCTGAACCAGCAGGATCATTCCCTGGGAGCTTGTTAGAAATTCAGGATCTTGGGCCCCACCACACACCTGCTGAAACAGGACTTCTGGGGCTGGGTCCCAGCAATTGGATTTTAACAAGTCTTATACCCCCAGGTCATTCTTATACATGTTGATACTGGAGAATCTGTGCTGTAAGTCCACCCCTCAAACAGCTTACCCTATCCATTTAGGGCATGGGAAATGCAGACTGCACACTGCACTTGTGAATCAAGGGAAATAGATCTGGTGGATGACAAGTCTCTACTTGACGTTGGGGAGACACTTCCTTCATCTGTGGGATTCCCTTACATTCTCCTCCATCCCCTCCAAAACATCTAAGTTTGGTTCCTGAGCCTGAGAGAGAACAGAGGTGTTGAACAAGCTTTCCTTGGGTGATACACGTGGTCTTAACTCTACAGCCTCCCTAGTTCCCAGTCCACCTTGATGCGCCCACAGTTTTCAGTGGCAGCAATCAATCCTAGCCTTTCAGTCCAGAAAGGAAGGGAACTGAAGCTTCTGAGGGGAAACAGCACCTGCCAGCCACTGCTGGCAATAACTCAGCCTGGGCAGGTGCACATATTCCTGGACTGAAGGAAGGGACCTGTGTGTTTCACATCAATGTGGACATGTGACAGCAGCTAACTTGTTCATAAATGTGTTCTTCCCAGGCCTTGTTGAGGAATAATTTGGTACCTTAATGTTATTTTTGTTTGAAGAGTATTTCCAGCTTTTTAAGCTTACAAATACTTCAAAAGCAAGATAGTCTTCAGCTGTCTTGATGGTTTTCTAGACCTGGGAGAAGGGGCATCTTTTCTAATTCTCACAGAGACTAGTAGTGGCCCCACTGTAGCTGCCTCCTCTCTGTCCCTGTCTGTGTCTCTGTCTCTCTCTTGCGTTCTCAGTCTCTCTCTGTGCGGTGGCCCTGACACCTGTTGTCCTGGCAGGACTAAGCATTCAGGGGATCAGGGATGCAGAAGGCAGGGCTTGCTGCTCTCACTTTTTTCTCTCACTGGGGAGCAGACGTGGCCGCATCCATTGCTCACACACCGACTCCCTGGACCGCAGTCCCGGTCTTCTCGGCACTGATCCACACAGATCCCAGCGGCTAGAAACACTTCAGCTGAAAACTGTGAGCCTGGCAGGAGCACAGGCGAGGGCTGAGAGGGGGCGATCTGTTTTAAACACTTATTCCATTCAAGATATACAGACAAGATATCTGCATAGTTTGCTCTATTATAAAAGTGGGGTGTTTTAATTTTCAAGTCACAAAAAATACTGAACCATAAAGTAAAAAGTAGGTCTCTCTTTCCCCTAACACTTCACTGCATTTCTCAGGATATATCCACCAGATTCTGTAGCTCCTCTGGCATTTTCTCTGCGCTTTTATAAATAGGAATAGAAACACATCAATAACACACATACATACACACATAATGTGACTAGATATTTGTCTATTCAACCACAAATATGTGGAGTGAGGCTTTTTTTTTAAGGCATCTTCATTAGGTACTTTGGATATCTACATCAAAAGCTTTCAAATGTCTATTTGGCCATTCCACATTGAGGAATTTCTCCTCAAGAAACATGATTTAGCCCAAGGACACTCATCTTGTACATACTTTAAAAAATAACTCAGATGATAGATTATCTAAATCTGTCTTAGTAGAAGGAGGCACGAAAACAAGGCATCTCCACATACTGGGAAATGAAGCCTTTTAAAATGTGTGGCAGAAGTGAGTTTATTGATTGTGGATGATCATGACACCATGATTGTAAAAATCATATATCTTGGATTTCTGTTGGTTTGTTTAGATGTGTATCTCTGTTACTTTGAGATCTTTAAGGATATACATCTCTCCTGAATTAGCTCCCAGCCCTCAGCTTAGCTCCAGGCGTGTGCTTCCTATCTGGGAGACAACCCCAATCCCGCATCTAGTGCTACTCAAACTGGGTCCCCTGAACCGGCAGGATCAGCACCCCTTGGGAGATTGTGAGAGATTCAGGTTCTTGGGCCCCACTGCACACCTGCTGAAACAGGACCTCTGGGGCTGGGGCCCAGCAATTAGATTTTAACAAGACTTGTCCCCAGGTCATTCTTCCACATGTTGATATTGGAGAATCTCTGCTGTGTATCTGCCCCCAAACAACCTACCCTATCAAGTTAGGGGCCTGGAAAATGCAGACTGGATACTGGCCTTGTAAATATAGTGAAATAGCTCTGGCAGATGACAATCCTGTCATTCATGTTGGGCAGACAGATCTTTTCTATGTGGATCCCTTTACAAAATCCTCCATCCCCACTCCAAAAACATCTAGGTCAGTACTTGAGCCTGAGAGAGCAGAGAGCTGTGTGAGCAAGCTGTTCCGGCAAGCACTGGGCCCAGCCTCCCCAACCCCGGCCCCAGCGCCACGCCCAGGGCCCCGCACCTGGGCCGGGCC